CATCAGATCTTTCCCCTTCAGGAATGATCGCCGAGCTGTTCGGCTCTCAAGTCGGACAAGTCTCAAAGGCGGTGCGCCGGTGTGGGTGAGCCTAGACAGTTGTTTTGGTTTCCGTTCATGCCTTTCCAAATCTTCGAGAGGGCGATTAGAAAAACACATACCAAAAACTCTAAGAAGTATCGAAGAGCGCCGGCCGTTCATGCCGCAAGCGGCATGCGCAGAGCGACTGGTCGTCTTCACTCAGTAAAAGGGAAAAGAAAATGCAGGTCAGGAGAAAATTTACTTATGAAGAGTATAGACACGGCCCGCAAACCCAATTCCTCAGCCAGAAGCCCTTGTCAAGTACCGGCTCGGGCAGATCATGGAGCCCAGTTCAAACTTGCCTCACCCATGAAGATAAATAAAAGTAAAAACATGGCACATAGCTATATGACATGCTCAAATGGCACTTTATCTCAGAAGTTTTGCTCTTGTTTTCGCCGCTGTACCTAGCTTGGTTCAAGAACGAACGAGGATGCGGCTGTGGCCGGCAGACAACGGCGCCCGCCACTTAGACTTTCCGACATGATCGGAGATCTACTCATCCACTAGAGACTCGGAGTTAAAGCTGGGAAACTCCCTGGAAGTCGCATGCATACTAATTAATTCCTCAAGAGAAGTTACTTCACATTATTTTTGCCAGCCACAGCAGATTTAAGCAAGAGGTGGGTGATCTCTGGATCACCCAATAAAATCCCACGACCCCCCCCCCCCCCCGTGAGAGTGATGGGTAGTGATGGCCAGGGATGGCCGGCATCCATGTCATGGTCAGACGCGCATCGTGCCTACACCGTCATTTGGCCCAGGTGTTTGGTAAATGTTTCCGCCGGATGTTTGGCAGATGTTGCCGGAATATCCCTAGAATACAAGAACGTCAATACCTCAATGCTTCTGAGACATTGACATTGCCACGACATTTAGCGCAACCTTGCCCGGAGGTGTGGCGAGGTACTCGGTGAACAAAAAATTCTATATTACAGCACTTCTCACTCAATGTTCTCACTGGCTCGTCAATAGGTTTAAAGAAATGTTTTATCAGGTGCTAATTTACATGAAATAGATAGATATGTAGTCAAATCCTGGCGCAAGGGGAGAATCACTTACCAGTCATCGGCGTTGTCAGCACCTTGTGGTCTTGATGGGGAAGTTGGAACCACTGGCGAGATTTCGCGAGTCTCAAACAACCTCGGCCTTGCATGCTATCCCATCTGGGGTCTACGTTCCGACATATGAACCTTGAAGCTGTCTTGAGGCTGTGTTGAGGCTTAACAGTCTTGCGTGTGGGCGTCTTGGACAAAGTTTGAGGTGGGTTGAGGTCTTGACCAAGTCTTGTGTCTTGCATCTCACTTGAGCTTGAAGCTTGAAGCTCGAACCTTCAGGTATCTTGAGGTCCTGAACGGACATTGACCAGGGACGGCACCGAGGGTGGCATCAAGAAGGGAGGGGAACGAGGGAGGAAGGCACAACCAGTGTCTCAGTGGCGAGAACAAGCATGTACCAGACAAGCGGGACGCGGACTGGAGTGTGTGGAGGCCCTATTGAATGGGCTGCGCACGTGCGGCCTGACGCGAGTCACGACGACAAAAAGGCAAAGGCAAGAATGCCCTTGAGCAGATCTTCGGGGAGCTGCGGCAGAGAGCAACGTCGGGGTCAGCGCTGCTCTGGTGTGGTGGCGGAAGTTGGGTGGAAGGAACGGAAGCAGTGTGTGGGTTCCCAATATTGATGGTTGTTTGGTCTGATGTGCACGGACCACTATTCAAATTCCACCTTCCGTCCACCATCGGCCTGTTAGCTTCAAGTCATTCAATCAATTAACTAAATGGCAGACTGTTTTGAGATGCATGAACTCAGATACCACCCGTTTGGAAGGTTCGTAAGGGAAATGTACGCATCAAACGAAACCCCGGGCTGCGGATACCATGTGGTGCTCCAAATTCATTGCCGTTCTTGTGGTCTTGTGTGAGCTGAATTTCTCCCTAAAGTCAACAATTCCCTCTGTTTCCTTCAAGTTTCCCCAGCTTGAAGATCCAGATCTTTTCTCGCTAGGGATATGCAATATTCGGATGATGTTCCCTCACCATTACCAAGATATCTCAGCAACATTTGGGCCAAAACATCCTGGGGATGTTCAAACAACCTCTTTGAGATGTCCTCAAACCTCTTTAAGAATTGTTGCCATCAACTGTTGACAAAATAAATTGTTTGATTGGCGGTGTATGCCACTCGTGCTCGCCTTGCTCGTCCTCACCTCTTGGGCACCTTCACTCTTTCAAGTGCATCCATAGCACTTGACTCTGCAGCAACCATGGAGTCCTATCCCTGTATATAATGCAGATAGCTCCCTCGAATAATGCAAATACTGTGCTGCAAACTCCTTCATCTGTCTCTAGTTCTGGCAGTCATTCTCCAAGCACGGAATGAGGGAGAGGCAGAGGTGAGCTCGAAGCACCAGCAGTAGCTAATGCCGATGATCCGAGAACAACCATCAGTGATTTGTGTTGCAAGATCATATTGACCGATGCAGAGATCACTCACCTCTTGGATTTAAGAACCATCGCACTCCTTCACGTGATGTGTTGAACTGTGAAATGAATGATATCAAAATGGATCGTCCGTTCTGGGGGCAATTTTTTGGTGCATATCTTAATCTGCATGCTCTAATGACCGCAAGGAGTGAATTTAGTGTTGACTCACTTCTGTTTGAGGCACAATTACCACCGGAGCCGTTGACGGCCGTCACGGCTGTGAAGTGATGGGACGGCAATTTTGCCGTCCCGTACCCGTCCCGCAAATTAGTTTGCCCAAGGGCTCGATGGGACGGGATGGCATGCCGCTGACGGCACCTGCCACACCCGGAAATACGGGGATGGTGGGCAACCCTAGGTGGAGTACTTATAAATGCGAGTGAATAAATCAGTCAGAGAAGAGAGATCTTCCAAGGTCGAGGCTAGTCTAGTAATTTCTAGGTACAGTTGACTTTTTCATAATGCATAAAGTCGGGAACAGCCCGAGGTCTATACATTATGAGCGATATGCAGGATGAAATTGTAACACGTACTTGTAACATCATGTGATTTATGTGACCCATCAAAAGCGTGACACTACTAAGTCGCCTCTTGCCCCTCCATCTCCTTCACTTTTGGTGCGAAGAATGTATTGATGTGCACCTGTTTTCACTGGGGACAATAAGCAATATACAGGCCCTGTATATCCTCAGGATATGCTCAGGATATTACAAACATCCCCAGCATATACCCGCAATATCCAGTGGCCGGATATGCTCTGGATATTAGCTAATATACTGGGGATATCTGGAGCCAGGATATGCTCAGTATATTAGCTAATATCCGGAGCATATCCTTACAATATCCTGAGGTCTAATGACTACCATATATGGACTCAGGATATGCTCAGGATATTGTAACACAACATGTACAAACAATGTCCAAAAATGGAAATAAAGACCTGCCTTGTAAGGAGAAGGCTCAGCCAAGTGCAATCTGAAACTTGATGCTAGGGTTAGGGTTTCCTTATAGGGAAGTAGATAAGATAAGATATACCTTATAAGAAACCCTAACCCTAACTTTGATTTTCCCAATTGCCCTTGGCTAAGCCTTCTCCTTATAAGGCAGGTCTTTATTTCCATTTTTGGACATTGTTTGTACATGTTGTGCTACAATATTCTGAGCATATCCTGAGTCCATATATGGTAGTCATTAGACCTCAGGATATTGTAAGGATATGCTCCGGATATTAGTTAATATACTGAGCATATCCTGGCTCCAGATATCCCCAGTATATTAGCTAATATCCAGAGCATATCCGGCCACTGGATATTGCGGGTATATGCTGGGGATGTTTGTAATATCCTGAGCATATCCTGAGGATATACAGGGCCTGTATATTGCTTATTGTCCCCAGTGTTTGTGTTTAAGATCTCGTCATGCCTTAGGGCACCAGCTAATCAGCCAAGGTTAGCCGGGGCTTTCGGGTGTTTGCCATCGGCTTGCCGGATGTTTTCGGAACATCCTCCTTTTGATTCTTCTTCTTCTCTTTTTCCTTCAGCTGATACGGCTTGTTTATCTCTCGGGGCTTGCATTTATCTGCGGGCATGGGGGGGGGGACAATGCAAAACTGAGCCATAACACCACTGAGCCTCTAAATACAATTGTATGCGCCAAAGTTGGTAACTTCTAGTTGATGGATCAAGTGTGGCCACCAATTGTCGCCCAAATTTGGTGATCTCATAATGCATATGTCGTTCACATGGCTATGAATAATCAGAATGCATAAAATTATGCATATCCCTTCATACCTACGTGATCTTGAGCCAAAACCATTACGAGTACTTATGTAATCGTTTATAGTCAATTGAAATGAGGTTTTAGAGACCTAGTCGAAAAGTGTCCCAGATCTATTCGTGTAACGGATTTAGCGGCTGTGCTAGTAGATTCAGTGGCTGTGTTGAAGCAGTTTTAAAGGACAGCCACTACTTTCCCTTCGTTCTTTGTGATTGCTTAGTGGCTGTACATTGTCTTATGTAATCCTTTTGGCGCTCGCTGTGGTTCGAATTAGGTGCTACGTATTTTTCGATTCGCCTCACTAGGGACGGCATTTCCGACAGTATGTATCTCCCAGTTCAAAAATTCGAAAGTCATTACGGTTGGTCTGCGTCCCAGCCTCTCCGGAACGCGCTTGCTTGCTGGTCATAACCAGCGCTACTTCAGCAGCAAAATGACTGGCGCGACGTGCGTGTCCAACGATTCAAAAGACCCTGCTATTCCGATATCATGCGCCGGCGGGGGTTTGCCTCCCATCCTTGGCAACCTGCTGAAGAGACGAGGCTTGTGTACCTACACCACCGGCGCTCCTACTCCTCGATACGCGCCCTTGCTATGAGCTGCATTCTTTATCGCATTAATCGATTGCGAGAGACGGAAAAAGGCTTCGCAGTGGCCAGATGCGCCGGCGGGGAGTCGAACCCCAGACTCGCCGTTGAACTCTTATCATTTGCAGACATTCTACAGGCACGGCGTGTGTACCGTACACCACCGACGCCGATAGATACTTTGCAGGACATGCTACATTTCAGATTTATCTATATTCCATTGATTTTACAGCCTCCTCCCTCAAACGACAGACGATACGCACCCCAGATATGCACCAACTCGCATTCCACTCTCCGAATCCACGCTCGACCCCGCTCGAATCCACGCTCCAAACCCCCAGTTCCAGCCGACCCCACCTGAACGCCCGCCAAAAATCCATATCTACATGTAGTATAACTATAAGTATCACGCCCGAACACAAATAATGCTGATATTACCCTCCCGTGTCCGTCTCGGCCATCCGTCCCTCCCGTCCATAAATTATCGCTCCCTGCATAGATTACCCCTACCCACCCTGCTAACAACACTCCCCCTTCTCCCCATCCTTTCCCCTCAACCTCTCTGCCCTGTTCTGCCCTCCCTCATTACTACTCATCCCGCCCAAACAAGCGACACCCGCGGATCCTCCTCGTATGCCATCTCTTCTTCCGCCGCCAAATGTGAAGCGAGCAAGCAGTGTGCAACACACGCAAACATGTCCCCGACGCCCGCGCCAGTGCACGCCAAGGTGCGGAAGTGCACCGCGTGCAAGGTGCCTAGGTTGAGTTCGAGGAGCCGGTGGGAGTTTGCTTTGTTTGCTGCGTTCGCGGGAGGAATGGGAGTGGGAGTAGGCACGGAGAGGGAGGTAGTAGGATGGGGAGTAGCGCTGAGCGCAGCAAAGATAGAAACAGACGCCCCAGGCAGGAAGTGCTACGGGTACGGCAGCGGGCTCAGCGGGCTCGAGCTTGGGCCCTGTCGCTGCCGTTCTCATACCCCGCGGAAGAGGTGTCGATCGCGCTGGGGTTGGGGCGAGTGTTTGCTAGCGTGAAGAGGAAGGAATGGGAGAGGGAGAGTGACGAGGAGGACAGGCGCATGGGCGTGATCATCGCCTCGTTCGCACCCCGTGCGCTCCCACCCTGCGACACGTCCCACGATGACCATGCGCTGTGGAAGAACTCGCTCGCGCTGCTGCTGAACACGCTCGACGACGGCATGTGGTACACCGTCAGCATGGACATGACCGTCGAGGCATAGTGCGAGCTGCGCGTCTTCGAGGGGGGTACGATTTCGAACGGGAGTGGGAGCGGAGGATTGATATGGGGAGCGGCACGGGTGAGGCAGGGGCGAGGGAGGGGTGTGCGGTGCGCTCGGAGGACGCAAGGTTGTCTGCGTCTGCATCCTCCTCGTCCTCGTTGGAGAGCGTCAGAGATGGGGACAACGCCCCGGGCGAGGCAGGCGGCGTCTCCACACGCGGACGAGCCGGCACACGAACCGCGCGCCCTGCGCCGCGCTCACCACCTCTCCCTGCCCCTGTCCATGCCCCTCCCCTTCCAGCAAATCGCACTTATTCCCCACCACCACGACGCAAAACCGGCCCTGGCACACATCCTCCTCGCTCACGGGTGCGCACGCACGGAACTCGGCCCACCATGTCGTCAGCGTGGCGAGCGTCTCCGGACGCGTGACGTTGTACATGAGCACCGCGGCGGGGAGCGAGACGAAGCACTCCTGACCGGCGGTGTCCCCAATTTGTAAGGTGGTGTCGGTGGCAGGCGTCCGCGCCGCGGAAGAATGCGGCAGGGAGCGAGACAAAGCACTCCTGGCCGGCGGTGTCCCAGATTTGTAAGGTGGTGTCGGTGGTGGGCGGGGTAGAGGGTGAAGGCCTGGTGTAGAGCAAGTCGGAAGGCAGAGTAAGGCAAATAAGGAAGGACATGGGAATCGAATGCAGTGAGTTAGGGCCAACACAGGGAAAGGGGGACGCACCTGGCGGAGATTCGTCTTGTCGACGCCGGAGGCGCCGATAATGACGACTTTGAATGTGGGCATTGTTAGTCTCAGCAGTGTGCGGATCCAAGGGGGACAGCAACAAGAGGCAGATTTGGTGCCTCAAACAAGCAGATCCGCCGCAGATCCGCCGGGAAGCGAGAACGAGCTCAGAGACTCGCTCGGAGTGTCAAGTCGTCGTGATTGCATATCGATGAATTCTAGGGTATGTGGAGAGCTACATTTTTGGGCTAGAGATCCACAGCAGTATTGGACATCGACCCACAGTCAGGCATGGGTTGCAACGATTCGGACAGTGGTGAAGGATTCAAGAAAGAAAAGGGACAGCGCTGTCAATCGGATGCTGTGCCATCGCGGATTGATCCGATGCTCCGAAGCATAGCTAGGTGAACTTGAAGCCAAGGGTGTCCAAAGGGGTATGACTTCTCTTTGGGATCGAGGGTATCTCTCTGGGTATTTTTTGGGGAAAAACAACACACCAGGCCGAGGCTTCCTTAACATGGGCAAGACTTCCCTTTCAAATGGACCGGCAGTATGATTGGGGGGACAACCATAGATTTGGATGTTAGACAATATAGCTCAGTTGGGCACGTGGGAGTGAACAACTGTATTCAGTACCTGTTAGACAATATAACTAGGTAGTAAAGTAAGTAAGAGAAGAATAAGTAAAGGAAGAGAGACATACCTCAGTTGGGCACATCGGAGTGAACAACTGAGGTACGTCTCAGTCGGTATGTAATATATGTAGGCGATCGAGATATGAAACGGGGGAGTACAGGATTAAGGGGGATTGGTCTACGTAGTCGGGCATAAGGCCCGACTACCAGCTCTATGGCTTGCCGAGCCACTACTTCGACATTGGACTGGCAGAAGGTCGGGTGACGATGTGTGGCACAAACCAGCGAGGAACGGAGGAAAGATGTGTCAAGATGGACTTGTGTGTGGCTTAGTGGGATGAATGGGATATTGATGACCGAGATTAGACAATCTTAACAGTCAGTTCTTGGAGAGATGTCATTGTCGAGGTCTGCTGAGCTCCTGATGTGCTTTCGGTAAAGTTTAGAAGTAATGCTGCGGATGCCTAAAGTAAAATGTTAGCCGTGCCTCCTGAAAGCCTTGCGGAGGTTCATTTCTGCAGCGCTTAGAGAACAGCACAGAAATGGCGTGGACTCTGAATCGGAAACTACCTAGGCACCTCGATTGAGTGAGCGCGATTCTATGCATATGGTAGAACACACAGATGTATAGCTTCGGATCAGGAACCTCACTTACAATTGCACCATCCAGAGTGCCGAGAAGGCCCGCGTTGAATTCTAGCACCGACGGACCCGTCATGGCTGATCCTGGAAATTACGAAATATGCCAACGTGTGTGTATCAGGGCACAGATAGCGCAGAGAAGTGTTCGTCAAATGCGAAAGAGTTGTGAGGGGTTCCAGCCCTTTGGAGCTGCCCAGAGATTTCTGAGCTCGATCCACTCGAAAGGAATTCCATCCGGTAGACATCGACTTGTTTGGAAATCCAGGCAACTTGAGCACACTGTGGACCGGTACCTCAGCATGATCCGAATCGAGAATAATACTAGCCGGGGCGACTCTGCGCAGTGATTCTCGTGCATGCTGTTTTTTTGCTATGTTTGGCACCGTCCAGCGGGATGATTCAGAGGGCTGTCCTAGAGAGAGAAAAAACGAAATGTATTGGCCCGGCGGCGCCTCCAATTTTCCGGCGGCAATGCAGCGAGCCAGGTGCGTCCAGAATACAAACCGCCTCGAATCAAAGCACATACACCGACGGAGAGTCGAACCCCGCACTCGTCATTGCATGCACTTCGCATTGTGGACAGACATGGCGCGTGTACCGCACACTAGCAGTGCTCATAATCTGAGGTTCGCACCCTGGGTGAAGTGCATTCCCGACAGGAATTAGGAGTATTCGGTGGGAGAGGGAACAAAAACAAAAATATGCGAACAAGCCATATGCGCCGGGGGGAGTCAAACCCGTCCTCGCCACTGCAGCTTCCATGCCTTTTCCGCCTCTAACGGGCATGGCGTGTGTACCCGCTCATATCTGTCAGCTACACCCTCGCGGAGCTACGAGCTCCATGTTCAACTCGCTGCCTTTGTGATTTTAGATGCGGCCCATGTATTCCCGTGCCTGTTAGTGCCCACGGTGCCCTTTTTCTTTTTTCTTCTGCAATTCAGGGCAACGGCGCATCCGAGAATAATGATAAAAAGTCTGAACCGCTGCATGCACTGGCGGGGAGTGGGACCCCGGACTCGCCATGGATCATGAATTCCTACCATCTTTAGCCTTCGTAATAGGCAGGGTGTGTGTACATCGCTGGCGCTCCTACCCGCCCGCACCCGCGCTATGAGCTATCTTCCAACAGCTTTATTCGGTTGCGAGCAGGGGAAAAAAGCGCCGCATGGAATGCGCCGGGGGGTCGAACCCCGGGCTCGCCATTGATCATGAGTTCATACCTTCGCAATAGGCATGGCGTGTGTGTACACCACGGGAGGTAGGAAAAGATCCGAGATGGGTCTATTTGACTGTGGCCTCTGAATAATTGATGGCTGGGATCTCGGAGACACATGAAAAATAGAAAAATGATTTTGTGCCATTTGGTAAGTGAGCACTTCATGCTTGTAATAACTGTGACAAGTTGTATCAGCAGGATCAGCAGCAGAACACATTTCTCCAGAGCAACAGAGTCCAATAACCCCACCAGTGATAGAACAAATGTGTGCACAAATAATGCTGAATCCGGGAATCGAACCGTCGCAGCAGAAATAAATTGAGATCCATCCGAGTCGTTCCGGCAAACCGCAGACAATGACCTTAAATACAAAAAAAAAAAAAAAAAATACATAAGTACGAGTTTGCCGGGCCGTGCCACGGCTATCACCCCCAAGTGCATTATGTAAAATATGCACTATGAACCAATCACAGCGAAAATTGGCTGCTTTCGGGGCGACCGAAAATGTATCTGAAACCTATTGTTTCAGTAAGCAGGTCACGTGAATTCCTATATATAATGCAATTCACGTGACCCAGCTACTGAAACATTGATGGTGCAGTGTGTGTGTGGAGGTGGCACTGCAGCGGGTCAATGCCTGTCAATGCCTAGTCTCTTATAAACAGACGCTACAACATTTTCGCTCGGTACCTCGCGTGTTGTAGTCTGTCG